CCACTGCAGAAAGATTTTTATAATGCATATCTTAACAGTGGGGTAGTTTTCAGATCTCAGAGGGTGTGCAACATTGAGTCCATTGTAGCAATCAGGAGAGCATATTCGCCCTTACCTATCTTACCTGCCATGGCTGACAGATTTACTTGGACAGACAGGCTTATATGTTTCATCTTGGGTCCGTGAGTTTTATGCTACACTCTGGATTGACCCGCAGCACAGATTTATACACTTTGTATTCAGAGACAGAGATTACATGCTAATGAGCTTTAGGGTCAGGGAGATTCTCAGGTTTAGGAGCAGCCAGTCTGGCTACATGAGGTTTGCTATGGACAGACAACGCCTCCCAGACGCCCTCATGGTGGTATGGTGCCTCCTACAGATTTGGTCCACCATTGCTTCATAGAGCCTTTTGGCGAGGGGTCGAGCAGAACACCCAGTGATCTCACTCCTACAGCTAGAGTGTTGGATGCTATTATGAGGAGGACCCTGCATTTCGAGGATGGGGTATCGCGAGGGCTTGACTCACATACTCTCTCTGATGCAGCAGACTGTGTTTGATATTTGGGATCTCCTTCTATCAGAGATGGAGGATACTATTGCTGAGGGGTTCAGGGGTCACAGGCAGCTGTCGTATGCTCACTGGATTACATTCTTGATCCACAGGACAGTTACTGTGAGGCCACTTGAGATGCTGGCAGAATATAGTGGTGCTACTACATAGTTCTCTGCATACAACATGACTCAGATGATCCGCCATAGTGCAGTGAGGACACCCAGCCAGCCGTGCCGTCGTCCAGAGGTGCCAGAGACTGTAGCCCAGCATGATGAGACCATCAGGGGCATAACAGCTATAGAGGAGGAGCAGTTAGATGCTCAGCAGGAGGGGATGGTTGAGAGCGACCCCAGCGACATCTCAGATGATGACTACCGGGATAACCCTCAGATGCCTCCTCGACGACATGACCATGAGGCCGGTAGCTCCAGCTCAGCTCCACCTGCACCTCAGACAGACCCCGCTCTACTTGCTATCCTTGAGCGGATGAGGCGGGATCAGGCTCGCCAGGCTCAGGAGACCGCCGCTACTTTTGCACAGTTTCAGAACAAGCAGGATGAGTTCCAGCGACAGCAGCGGTGGCAGGCTATACAGCAGCGGTGGCAGGCCATGCATCAGCAACAGCTTCTCATGCAACAGCAGCTACTTGGGTTTATGTAGCATGTTGTGACAGCTATTGGGGCTCCACCGCCACAGCCTTCACAGCAGCTTGGTTAGCCTGTCACCACTTCTATGACTCCAGCTTTCCAGCCCAGTGGGCTTTAGAGTCAGGGACAGCCACCAGCACAGTTTCCTTCACCTATAGAGCAGGTGTCCCAGTGGTTTGCCTCGCCAGTGCCAGCCCCGCAGTTCACACCTTTTTAGACGGGCTTCACACCAGCTCAGACTTCTTCGCTGCTTGTGCTAGAGACTACAGTTTCCAGGAGCCTTGGTGCTTCCTTCAGTGAGTTGACAGGGCAGCCTACTCCGCCATATCTACATGTCCTAGGTCCTTCCATAGTTGCACCTATTACTAGGACTACAGAGACGCTCCCTTCTTCTGTTGCATCATCAGAGCCGCCTGCTATAGTCATACCTGCACAGTCTACAGCCGCTCCAGTCCCTGATCCGACCCAGACCGCTTTAGCATCGCTTCCTGCTATAGAGGGTCAGACTGCTCAGAGCTCAGGATCAGATGATGATGGCACACGGTTCCAGCTCGCTCCTCGCACCTCAGCGCCTGACTTGTCCGCTGCAGCCCCGTCGACCGACCCTTAGGTTTTGGTGTTTGACGCCAAAGGGGGAGAGGGATCGAGTATGTTAGACTTAGTGGGAGCGATTCATTTAGGGGAAGTTTATCTATTACATTTGGCTTTTTATGTGTGATACACTATTATGCATTCGTGTGTTTACTTTCATGCATCAAACTATACTTATGTGATAGTGATATCTACGTGATCGTGATATTTGACATGTGTGCTCTCTACTTTGAATGATTTATATGTCATATCACTTGTGTTAAGCTCATTTGCTTGCTTCCACGTTTTACTCCGATGCAAATGAGCTTTATTACTTGTACTCATGCTTATTTCATATCTATTGAGTACATCATGTTGGCTTGGGTCATATAAGCATGCCTAACTCTTTTGTTCTTATTGTCAAAAGCTTATATGATCTAAGCATGTTAAAAACCTCAACTCTTTCACATACTCGAGGTTGTATTGTCATCAATCACAAAAAATGAGGAGATTGAAAGCATCTAGGCCCCTAGTTGGGTTTCGGTGATTAATGACAATACATGATTACTATGACTAACGTGTGTTTTGCAGAGGCAATTAAGTTAGGTCATGGTAATGGAGATCAATTGGACAATCATGGTGGTCATGCCCCTATGATGGAAATCGTTTCGGTTTTCAAAGAATGGACGACAAGGTTAAGGATGGACTAGTTCTAAGTGTTGATTGGAGTTGAAGAGACACTTAGAGTAATTTAGGACTTTATTTTTCCTTTGGCCGTACTATTAAGGGGGGTATGGACGGGTAGCTTGACCTAGGTGAGTCTAGTGGGTTATGTGTGGTGCACACTTGCTAAATCTAGCACTAGGTAGCTCCTAAAAAGCCCTTAGATCCATTGGAGCAAACTTCATTCACGTATGATCGAGAGTTGAAAGTGAATGGAGGGTCAAATACTGACCGGACGCTGGTTCCGGTGTGACCGGACGCTGTCGCAGAGTCCGGTCAGTTCATTTGATCAAGGTGAATTCATCTGGTGTGACCGAACGCTGAGAGGTGAGCGACCGGACGCTTGGTGCCAGCATCCGGTCGACTCCAGTAAGGTTCCAGAGAGGGAATTATGAAATCGCGTCCGGTCATAACTTTAACACTGGAGGTCGGGGTGAACTGACCGGAGCGTCCGGTCAACATGACCGGAGCATTCGGTCTCCCCGCAGAGGCACATAACGGTTTGTTTTTCAACCAAAGTTATAAATACTTCCACCATTCATGTGAGGGGGTACTTTTGCTCATTCCAACAGCTAAAAAACACCTTTGAGAGTGCCAAGAAAAGCAAGGTCCTAGTGAGGTGATTGAGATTTGAGAATCCCAAAGAGAGCCCTCATTAGTGAAAGCAAGAGTAGCAAAGTGTGCATCCACCCTTCTCATTAGGCTTGTCGTGGTCAAGTGAGAGTTCGTGCTTGTTACTCTTGGTGATCGCCATCACCTAGATGGCTTGGTGGTGATTGGGAGCTTGGTGATCATCCGGTGGAGATTGTGGATGACCCAACTCAAGTTGTGAGCGGTTGTGGGTGATTCACCGCGACAGAGTGTCGAAGAATCAACCCGTAGAGAGCACTTGATCCTTGCGCGGATCAAGGGGGAGCTACAGCCTTGCGCGGGTGCTCCAACGAGGACTAGTGGGGAGTGGCGACTCTCCGATACCTCGGCAAAACATCGCCGCATTCCTCCTTCTCTCTTTACTTTGAGCAATTCAATTCTTGTCATTTACATTTATAGAATTGCCATGCTAGAGTAGGATTGGAACATATGTTGCTAAACTTTTGTGTGATAGATCAATAAAAACACTTTCTAGGCACAAAGGGTCAATTGGACTAACTGTAGGGTTTAATTATTGTAAAGAAATTTAGAATTAGCCCAATTCAACCCCCTCTTGGGCATCTTGATCCTTTCAGCGCCGCGGCATCGTCACCAAGCCCGTGAACCCGGTGGACATCACGCATGGACGCCACGCCACGACCCTTCGCGAACTTGTTCCGGCTCGCTCGGCACCGAGCCAACGCCACGTTACGCGCCCTGTCTTCGACCACCGTTGGTGAGCCTTCCTCTGCCCAAGACGGCGAGGCACATAGCACCGGCACACCTCCACACCGACCGGCGCAGGGTGAGTCCGCGCTCCCTCTCGACGTCCGCAGTCGTGACGACGCTCCTGCACGCGAGTGCGCACACGCACAACACGGCCACGGCTTGGCCCCTGTCCTGCGCCGCCCAAACACCGCCGCACCCCCACCGCTCGCCAACACAGCAGCAGCACACGTGAGGGTGCCGCACCGGCCGGAACACCGTCCCTTCGTGCCTGGCCATGAACCGGCGTCCACCGAATGCCAGGCACGTGCAGCGCGTTTCAGTCGCCGACGAGTTCACATGCACCGACCCTAGGCCCACCTTGCCATCGCGCCTCCTCCTACCGTAGTCCGACGTGCTTAGCCGGGCCCCACACTCGGCGCGCCTAGGTAGTTTCTTTGTCGAGCACCTAGCCACAGTGACCCTGCTCCCTCCCTTTCCCTTTTCCTTGCAGCCAAGAGATAAACCGAGTAGGACGAGGGCAGGAGGGACATTTTACGTGACTCACAGACTCGGATCCATGCTGGCTTGCGTGCCACGCGAGCAATTGTGGTAAATTTGTATCAGTTGTCTCTACCTATCGGTGAAAATGTAATGGCAACCGTTAAAGTGCTATCTGAGAAAGTGCCGATCGGTATAATGGTAAAAAGTTAATAATCCCCTCCCAAGGCCAAGATAATCGGTGGACTTGCAGCTGACAGCTAGCCTCCTATGCAGATCCTATATTTACCTTCATTCTAGTACAAATTTTAAACTATAGAGGTGCGTTTATTTCGAGACAGAGGAAGTATATCGTCACTGCCATATTCAGATCACCAGAATCTAAGGATAACTGGAATATATACACAATTGCATTCTCTCCTGAAGCCTGGAATTGCAAGAGTTCTCTTACGAGCTCCATCCCATGGGAATAGTTACAAGAGAGTCAGGTCAACCAGAACTGGGGAAGTGGGTCGTAGCATCAGCCATGGTGAGCACCACAAACATACGCTACGTCAGCTCCAAAACGCCTACTACTTGCATGATACTGTGATCAACTCTAACCTAGCCTATCCGTTAGGATTGTCACAACAAAAGTCATCAGCCCTACGGATGATTACAAGTTGCCATCACACCATGAAGAGGTATCTGAGATCTTCTACCGTCAATTTAGTAGCAGTGCCTCTGGAACCATCCTCGCCAAATGCGGATTCCACAATCTTTCTCTTTTTCTCCTGCCCAGTGAAATATTCACATTTAGCCAATATAAACGTCAAGAAAAGCTCAATGCTAGTTACTCCAATAGACCTTAGGGCCAATATAGAGTTGTTAAATAAACGAGATTGACACTGCATGTGATGTACATAGGTAATAGTTGATTGTAGCTGCAATGTCATTTCACACGAAAAAGTAGCACAAAATTGAAGTACTGGTGTTGAGTTTCATATCGGCAGATTGGGAGACCACATAAGACACAAGATCACAGATCAAGATTGAAATGAGAAACACGAAAATTTTGGCTACCTTTTATGATTAATTGATTATTCCTTTCAAAAAAATATGATTAATTGATTATAGGATTGTTCCTTTTAAAAAATATGATTAATTGATTATAGGCTGAAACCGAACACTTAGCTGTTGAGTTTTCAGTGCCAATCTAAACTCACATGCTCAAATCTTCTGTGGACTAATGAAGAGTATCCTCTACGTAGAAAAAAAAAAACTATCATGATCGCATAGGCAACAACCGAAGTAATTACCTGCAGAGCTAAAATGCGGTCTTCCACCGTGTCTTTAACTGTGAACCGTGAAACAGTAACAGGACGGGTCTGACCAATCCTGTGTGCTCTGTCAACTGCCTGGTCCTCAACGTAAGGATTCCACCAAGGATCAAGCATAATCACATGGCAAGCAGCTACCATGTTTAAACCAAGATTGCCAGCCTTCAGTGACATAAGCATTACTCTTACCTGAAGAATAAAAATTATTATCAGTATTTACTTGTGAAATGTCAGTAAATATTGCTGAATAAGAAGAAAAAAAAGATAGAATGCAGGGAAGGACCTTGGGATCAGTTTTAAACTCGTTCACTTCTTGTTCTCTCAAGTTGAGACACATGGATCCATCTAGCCTCCTAAATTGTATATCATTGCTGTTCAGTGAAAGCTGCAGCAAATCCAACATGCCAGTCCACTGGGAGAAGACTATTGCCTTAACAGGGAGTGCCATGCTGGGAATTGATTCAGTAGTATCCCCCGCTGTAAGGGCAGGTGTCTTCATGATTGAGTTAAGTATTTCCACTGCTGCCCGGATCTTCGAGGAGATGTAACTGCTTTCACAGATTGAGGATGACTTGTCCGCTGCTGTGGAACAACTAGGTTTTTCATCAAACTCCAACTTTGGCGAAGTACAGAGTTTTAATACAGCTGGTGTAAAAACAGATCGAAAACTTAGTTTCTTTCCACAAAGTGCATAGGGGCAGACATGTCCATCACTTGTTAAGCTCTCATGTACACACTGATAGCAGAAAACATGACCACATGTCGTGACAACAGCATCCTCAGGTGGATCCTGCAAAATAGGAAAAATAAATTATTGTACTCATCAAAAAGTTTTGGATTATATAGGATTTTCAGCTAAAATCAAGTACACATCAGTCACTGTTTAATGTTTTGTCACACACATATCTCTTGGTTAACCTCATTCTTTTACTTCTTCATACAATAAAGTATTACAAGAGCAAGAGGTAATACAAATAATACACTGCACCTGTAACAAATTTTGAGTGACCCAATTGCTTACATTGCATATGGAACAAATTGCCGGACCTCTTTCCAACTTTTCAAGCAAATTTGTCACTGTTTCCTTAGGAAGTTGCTTTGCCCTTTCTATAGAATTGCCGTCAATCAGATCTGATTCCTGTCCGTTCAAAAGAAGAGGGTGATCACAAGCCTGCCTAAGCCGCAACAACAACACAAGAATGTTTGCATAATTTTCCCTTATCGTCCCAGCTGCATCATATGCCTGTATTACAAACACAACATGAACGTCAGACATGAATTCCTGAGCAACTGAACCAACAGGAGAAAATTATAGGCAGAAATGGAATTCAGTATTTAAGCTATTCTTATTTAATGATAGACTCATAAGCCTAATTTCAACGAAGGTAATGCAATTAGTTGGTTCATGTTAATCAAAGCCATGCAATTTTTTATATGTTTAAAACTTCAGATAAGGAGAACCCAGCAAGGATGATTCTGAGATTAGACAAATATAATGCGCCATGATTGCAAAACAAGCATAATAAAGGGTGTACCCAGTGCAGAGAGCTCCCGCTCTGTGCGGGGTTTAGGGAAGGGTGTCAATGGCAAGCCTTATCCTCGCCTGTGCAATGCGAGGAGACCGTGACTCAAACCCGGAACCTTCCGGTCACAGGCGGTAAGACTCTACCGCTTGCACCAGGCCCGCCCTTCAAAACAAGCATAATATTTCAGCAATTACTCTCTCTGTCCACAAATGTAAGGACTTCTGGCTTTCAAAATTTGTACACAAATGTAAGTATGACCTAATCCACCTGAATAGGCAGGATTTAACAGTCATTTATGGCATTGGTTACCTAAAATAGACAGGATTTACTGATTTAGTTGAATCACTGCAATTTAGGTGCTTGATTGAGGGGTACATGTCTTTTCCCTCCCTGCTTGAGTTGTCCTTACATTTGAGGACAGGGGGAACAAGTTTGTATCTTACTGAAGAAAGATGATGCAAATTTTAAGGTACCTTGAACTTCTGCCGAGAGCCTTCTTCAAGTGCCAAGTAGAAAGCTCGCTCCTCTTGGGTGAAATCTATTTTACTCAGCTGAATTGTCTTTGGTGGCAGCTTTAAGATTGGTTCTCCATCTATAAGTATTTCTGTATGGACAACGGTTTAACAGTACATCAATGACAATATCACAACCAACAAAACGACAACATTGGCATATACTGAAAAGCTTGAAGATTTAAGAACCACAATGGAACTCTTCTAAAAATTGTACTGAAACACAAACAGGATCCAGATGCTGAACAAAGTTTTCAAGGTTGCAATGCATTCCAGATTGAGTGGGGGATTAGTAAGTTTTGTTGGCAAGTGCAATAAAGCGTGCACCAGTGCAAGTTAGCTCAGAACAATATGCATACAGATATATATATTTATGGTCAAAGTACTTTAATTCACCTTTTGTGCGCCGCAGTAGAATTATCCTCAAGATAGCTTGAAGTTTCTTATAGCCACGAACTGAATCTCTAGTAATTTGGTGCTTGATCATATTTTTGAAATTACTAAATTTAGAGTAAGGTTCATATTTCAAGAAACAGAAATAGCTATACAGATCATCAATTTTATTTTGTATAGGTGTTCCTGATAAGCACCATCTCCTTTCTGCCCTCAGTCCACAACAAGCTCTAGAGACTTGAGTCCAGTAGTTTTTTATTGTTTGAGCTTCATCAAGCACAACTCTGAACCATCGTACCCTGGCAAGTGGGCCACCTTCTAAATTCATAGGTTTGTTTTTCTTCTTTGGCTTGCTCTGCCTTTTTCTTTTGCTGCCGATGGAAACTTCTGGACATATTCCATCCAATTCACTGTCCTTTTGCTCATCATTAGAGTTTTCTTTAGGTACTTCATTGGCCACAGTCATGTACGTGGTGACAACAACATCATATGTTGCCAACTCATTAGGATCTTTAGTCCTTGAACTTCCATGATAAACCAAGACTGACAATTTATTGTCTTCCATAACCTTCACAGAGAGCTCATTAGCCCACTGCCTAAGAACACTAGCAGGGCACACGACCAATGTTCCTGCAGCTGGTCTAGTCTTGGACCTCAAGTTTGATGCAGAGTACCTCACTCTGGTCTTCTTCTTAGGTTCAGCTTTATCAGTAGCAGTGTTTGACTTGCTACCACAGAGCTTAAGACTGCTGGCAACATGCAATCGTGCAGAATCATCCAGCTCATTCAAGGGTTCATCCTTCAGTTCTTTCTTGGCCATGACAATCACAACATTGTCATTGTCATAAGGTTCAGCTTTATGAGTAGCAGTGTTTGACTTACTATCACAGAGCTTAAGACTGCTGGCAACATGCAATCGTGCAGAATCATCTAGCTCATTCAAGGGTTCATCCTTTGGTTCTTTCTTGGCCATGACAATCACAACATCATCGTCATTGTCGTAATCACTGTTTGGGACAAATTTTGTACTGTATGAACCAGCAGTCATGAACCTAGACTGCTTAACCATCTCCTTCAGTATAAGGGCGATCGTTGATATTGTCTTCCCAAGACCCTGTATCACACAAAGTTAATTGCTAAACATAAAGGAACCTGGTAGGAAGAACAATTAAAAGCTATTTGAATATGGTAGGAAAAGTAAGAAGTAACCTGATCATCTGCCAAAATTCCACCTGGACAATGTGAACTATTCTCCTTCGAAAGCATCCATGCCAATGCTATTTTCTTCCAAACATAAAAGAACATGAAAATGAATAGGGCCTCCAGCATAAGCATAGCAATTGCATAACTGATATTAGAGAAAAGGTTACCTGATGCTTAAGCAGTAAAACTGACATAACACCTTTGGGCAGATCTTCCTCCTTCGTTTCGTGAGTGATATGCTGCATTCATTTTTTGTAACATTAATAAGATTCGCCCAAGTGATTAAAACAGAATATCAGAAGATGGCAAGGTGCCATGCCTGTATAAATCAATCAAAGACCTATACCTTCAGGGCTTCTTTGTATACAGCTCTCTCATCAGAACCGAAAAGCCTTTGTTCTACATCATTTTCAACTTTTGTATCATTAACAGAAGATGGCATTGGCGGAGGGAAGATCCGATGTTGACGTGGACCTCCATATACTAAGATATCATCTGACAGTTTGAAACAACATTGTCTTAATATCCACACCTTGCACAAATATAAACCATTTTTGTAGGACGACTCAAATCATAATATTTCAGGATAGTAAAATAAAATGTCACCTATTGGCACTGTAGATGAAGGTATCCCGTTTCCACTGGCAGAGCATCTTTGAAAACCACTAAACGTCATAGAGGGCTCTTCCTTGATCCTGTTGTCACCTAAACTTGAATGGCTGGGTGCAAATGATTGAGGAACGAAGCTTCCGTAGGTGAAAGATTGTGGAAGCTGATGTTCAACATTTTGAGAATAGAAAATGTTCAGGTTTTGCTGCAGAACCATTTGCTATTGATAATTGAAAGAGTCCTCTTGATATTGTTACTGACCTTATTGTTCACCTCAGTGGTTGATATATCCTCAACAGGGCTATAAGAGGATGAAGCATTTGTACTAAACCAGTCATCGTATTCTTTCTTTGCGACCACGCGCCAATCATCGAATTCTTCCATGCTATTCCAGTCAGGTGCTGTGTTGTGAGGAAAAAAAGACAGGCGAAAAGGATCATCATAGTTCACGTCCTCTTCTCTGTAAGGGAGAAAAGGAGTGTTTTCTTCACTGTCAGAAGACAGGTCAATGATCCCATCCTCGCTATCTGAACTTAAGTCAATAATGTCCATACTGCTTGGAAGCATGTGTGCTGAATCTGTCTTGTCGGATATCTGCTTACTTAGATTTAATCACCAAGTATAATCAGAGTAATCGAGATCAGCATGCTTCACAACTTTCTCCTGCAAATGGCTTGTTACTCGGAGCAAGTAATGCACCAAGCCTCAAGCAGCTCAGTAGACTTGTGACCAGATCTCACTAGCTAGCCTGCAAGTGGCACCAAGATGGCAAACGATATTTCAGCTACACGTGTCAGAGTAGGCAATAATGCAAATTCTGAAGTGAAACTCTAATAATTATAAAAAAAACACTAGCACAACAAGAAACTATTATTTGGCTACAAGAAAGTACAAGACTACAGTACAGTTGATACTCGAGCCCAAGGTGTTAGCTCCAAATAATTTAACCAAACCCACGTTATCACTTGCCAAGGAAAATGATTTTTTTTCTTCTAAGGATCACGATTGAAGCGAAGTAGAATCGGCACTACAGCAACAGGAAAACTGCCATCAGACGGATATTACCTATGCTAATTAGACTGACAGTTTCTTGTCAATAATAGTAGGTACTCGAGCGCAAGATGTTACTACTACCTCCAAAATAGGTGCTCGAGCGCAAGATGTTGCTAGTGGCTCCAAAGTAGTGAACTAAATCCCCGTTATCACTCACCAACCAAAAAAAATCATTTTTCCAAGGGTCACGATTCAAGCGAAGTAGAATCGGCACTACAGCCAGGACAACTGTCATCAGACTGACATTTGCCAAGAATTGGTGCAAACTTGTGAGCGCGCGGTGGTTCGGACGAAACGTATTACACAGAGACAAAGAATCGATGAATATAAATACGTGAGGCAACATCTGCAGAACTCGCGAACCCAATCGATCCCACGATCGCTTAAACCTCCCCCCCGACTCCTCTTTCGAACAAACCCCAAAGCCCTAATCTTGGGCAAAAGGCAGCCGCCATCCGTTTCCATCACCAGCGGAATCCAATCAATACCGTTTTACATTTCCCCTAAATCTCTTCACCCACGTCCAAAAAAACAAACCTTAGAAAAGCAGTAGAAACAACCATAGCTTCCCGTGAAGGAAACGAACCAGTCCAAGAAAGCACCACGGGGAGGGAGCGAGCGAGCGAAAAAGCAGCGCCGAACTTTACCTGCTCCGAATCGGCGAGCGAGCGAGCCGCGTGCGGAGGACGACGGGAGACGGCACGCCGGCGCGGCGTCGGGCGCGGGGGGAGCACGTGCCGTGCCGGCGGAATCGGCGAATCGCCGCGAGGGAAATCCGGCGAGGCGATTGTTGCTTGTGTGCGTGACGGCGGGGGCTGTGCGAGGACCGAGACCGAGACCCGCGCCGGCGCGTTGGCTGCAGAGTTTTGTATGCCTGCGAAGTGGGCCCCCTGGAACCCGGGCCCGCGTGTCAGTGGGACGGCGCGAGCGGGAACTGAAATATTTCCATTGGCTGGCGGCCGAGCCCGGAGCAAGGGGGAGGGCGGAAGGCAAGCGTCTGATCTTACGATGGAAGGAAGCGTGTGGGGTGGGGGATGAAACGGCATAGATAATGACGCTTTGTTGAGGGCTAGAAATTGCAGATGAATTCCCCTGAAATTTAGCGAGGTAAAAAACTTGCAAGCAACGAGCAGAGCACGAACATGAACCGGAGAACCCGAGGTGAAATTGGTAATTAATGAAATAATACACAGTAGCTGTAATCACAGTAGCCATCTAACGGAAAAAAGGGGGTGAGGTTCGGAGTAATTTACCAAATTGTACAGCGAAACGAGTCAAAAACTAGTGGAAACCTAATTAAAAATTTGATAATAAACAATATTCAAACGTTGATTCCAGAAGGGGAGAAGACTACGACTATACGAGCAAAAGTAAAAAAGGCAGCTCGCATCGCCTCAGGCCTGCAACGGCTCAGCCCGACTCACGCATGAGCGGCTGGGCCGAGGCCCACGACGAACGGGCCAGGCGGCCCAAAGTACGGCACGCCCGTGGGCGGCGCGGCGGCGCCGGCGGACGACGAGGACGATGACGCCGGGGTGGCACCGGGAAACGCGGCTACGGCCGGCTGCGTGAGCGGGTTGGGTGGCGTGGTGGCGGTGGCCGGGAGGAGCGGGTCGCCGCCGTACGCGAGGCCCTGCTGCTGCTGGCAGTCGGGCCAGCGGCAGTCCGGCTGCTGCTGCTGGGCCCTGTGGCGAGCCAGGCCGAAGCCGAGGATGAGGCCCGTGACGAGGAGCGCCGCCACCAGGCACATGAAGATCTTGGTGGCCTTGCCCACGTAGCAGCACATCGGAAGCTGCTGCTGCCTTCTGCTCTCTCTTCTTCTTCTTCTTCTTCTTCCCTGCTCTCTCTTGTGCTCCTCTCTCTACTCTCAAGAGTCAAGACCATGCACGAAGTGAGGTGAGACTGGGAGGGAGGAGAAGAGGTATGAAGGAGAATGGAGGGTGAGTGATGGTTAGTGAGATGGGTCACTTGGCCACCCACCTCGCCTTTTGTTTTGGGTGTTGGTGCTGCTTGTCGGATTAGCGCTCGTGCATGGCTCCACGTGAAGGAGAGAGAAAAGGGAGATAGCGTGAGAAAAGTTTTGTTATTACTTGCTGTTACCAACACCGAGATGATATACAAATAACACTGCAGCGGTTCAGATGCGTACTTTTCAGTGTGGTCACCAAACTGTTGTGTGCATAACTAATAACAGAACAGATCAACAGAAGGCCGGATCGTAGCAAAGCAATACTCTTTGTGCCGCATAAAACTGTCTGACAAATTCAGAGAAATAACCAGTTGATACCAGCAGAAAGCGAGCAGATGTTCAAGCGACAGATAACAGGCGCTTTGATCCATCTGCTGCAGTTGTAGGCAGGTTGCTTGTCACTTGTCAGTGACAGAGGTTTACTCTGCCGACACACCAGGTCAAAAGTAAAACCAGGGGTCTCTTTGCTGACAGTAAAACCAAAGAGTGAAGCTTCAGAATCAGAACGCCACAGATCATGGGATCATGGAGAGAACACTGTGCAAGCACAGTCCATGGTGTGGTGGCATGGCATGGCGTGGGTCGGTCTCCCCAACAATGATTTGCCTTTTCTTCCTCCTCGTCCCACCATCTTTTCCCTTCACTCCAGTGTGTCTCGGCTCGGGCGAAGATAAGCGTATCATTGAGCGAAAAGCTGAATGCGACCTGGCACGTGTCAATGCTTGGCCACATGTTGCGTTGGGCCACACATACAGCTTGCAGTTTTGTCCATAATCCTAGGGTTGTTAGGTGTGGTGCCCCAGGTCAGGTACGTTTAGGTACAGCATCAGCAGTTGTATATTCTTTTGATTCAGATGCAAAGCTGCAGATGCACTGGCGCTTCAGATATGATAATCTTCATTACCAAAACAAAATCTGGGATTTTCATGATGCCTGACCTTGGGGATTTGCACATTTTCAATGCTGCAGAGGGTTACAATTTAATACTCTACCATCCGTGATGAAAACCTGGAGATCAATGGAGTGTTAAATTGTTTTGTTTTCCAGGAAAGCAACAAACAAAGCTGCCCTGCACTGCATGGCGCATTGATTATAGTAACCGGCAAGTGCACTAGTTTTGTTGGTTTATTTTCAACACCCAGACCATGCAACATTCAGACTTCAGAGTCACACTACAGTCAGCTCTGGGGGTGCTACTGCTACAAAGCGACACTCATCAGTCACACACACGGCCACACGGGCGACACTGGATAGTCTGGGACATCCAGACCCTGACCAAGAAGCACTCACGGTCAGTCTCACAGAGCAGTTTCGGAAGACATGACTGAAAGTCTGAAACGACTATTCCACGACTATCTGAGGAGTCTCGAAGGGTTCAGCAGAAGCGTCCACCAGCTTCTTCACCTCGTCTGGGTTCGCCCCAACGATCTTCCTCACCACCTCCTTGTTCTTGATGAGGAAAAACGTCGGCATGGCCTTCACTCCGTACTTGGATGAAACGCTCTGCATGAATTTACAGTTCGTCAGTACATCATGGCTGTAGCCCGTAGCTAGCTTATTCAGTCCATCTTCAGAGCACTATACACTTATACAGATGAGGTCATCTGGCACATATGAGAAACAGCAAGCTTTTTTGCAACATGTTTGGATTCTGAATTCTAATCAGGTGAAAAAATGTATTGTTAAATTTATAGATCGTCAAGATCGAGATTCTAAAAGATGATCGATATCAAAGCCAAAATTTGGCCCTTCCCTGCCTTCCCCCTTTCTATTTCTTGGGAAGAAATGTGATCATGTGGCCATGTGAGTTCCTTTCTTTTGTTAGAGAATCCAAGACATAAGACCTGTAAGATCAGAGAGTTGTTACCTGGACATCATCAACGTCCACATAGAGGAACAAGACCTCAGGGTGGGTCTGAGCTAGCTCCTCAAACTTGTAGTTCATGGACAGGGACGTCACACACCATGATGCCCCAAAATGGGCAACAACCTACTCAACATAGCGGGACAGATTTGTCAAGTTTAATTTTTCTGTGGATTAAAAAGAACATCTGTGCAAAACCACTGTTCACTAGCAAGACAGAGCACCTGCCATCAGGCTAACATCCCCCAAATTCTACTGATTTTGCTAGCAAAACGAAGAGATGTAATAAAGGGTACACGAACAGCTACTCTATATGAAGAACAAGGAGCATGACCACATATGCAGAGATCAAGTTGCTTCGAAGTTGTATAATCTCACAAAAGCGATGGCGTTATGATATGCACATCTATCATTCTAGCTTGGTCCAAATCGAAATGGTCGAGAGTTTGAAACCCCCCAAAACATCAAAAAGGGATCATTAGATCTTTGAAAATGGAACAGAATCTCAACAAGAGCAAAAGAACCAGGCCAAAAGAAGGAGGTGGGGAGGAAAGGGGAAGTGAGGGGAACCCACAGGCCGGCCTTCTTTGCTTGCTTGATCGGTGAACAGACCCCATGCCTCCTCGCTCTGAACCTTCACAACCTTCGAATTCCCCACCCCCTGGTGGCGCTGGATCTCCATAGAGCCCCAACGAGCTAGGCAAAGCCTCTGCCCCCGTCTCTGTTCTTCTTCTTGGTCTCCTACTCTCCTCCTCCCTGACCCCTTCCCCAGCAAGAAAAAGATTTGCAGCTTGTCTACAGGAAAGAAAAGAGTGCCAATCCACTCCGCTAAGATAAGCATGGGAATATATCCTACAGCTGGTGGGTCCACCCATACTTTGTCTGCTCTGATCTGAGTTTTCTGGAGTCAGGAGGATCCTATGCAGTATTCCAAAAATTCTATGTCCTTGTGTGAACCGCATAAAAGATATTGCTACTAGTAATTAAAACCAGAGGCATGTCATCATATATCAATGCTTTTTCGACAACACGTCCGTTGACACGTGTTATATATCAATGCTTATCAGTTGAAAGATTGTAGCGTTAATTAACATCTTAATCTGATGCCTATCCAGGTGAGAAGCTGCAAAATAAAACGTGCCAATCAAACTCAAATCCACATCGTAGGGTGTAAATGGAAGTGCTATATTCTCATGTGGCATTGCTATTGTTATATTCTTGTATTTGAACAGATAATCTTATTGGCACTGATCTGACTGAACATCCAGTACACCCGTTCTAAAGCTTTGCTTAACATACCCCATGTGTCAGTATATTCAGCTACTATGGGGAATCGTCGTATATGTAACTAACAATAACATCAGTTTTTAAACAAACAATTGAGCACGCCCATTGCCTGTCGACATCGCTACGGCCCCGGCTGCCACTTCTCCTGTCCACGCGATAGACGTTGACAGGATCCTTGATCGTGTGGCCACGGCGGAGCCTCACGCGGCGCAGGTGTCGGTGGACGACTTCATCGCCTCCTTCAAGAAGCCGCTCGAACAGTCGTTGCTAAACACCCCACAGCTGCGCGTCACCAAGGAAGCATGCAGGGACGAAGATCTGCTCTGGGTTCCCAGGCGGAGCGCACGACTGGCGGCGAATAGCAGGTACAGGGAGAACAAGCCCGACGCGCAGGCACGGAAGGTGCTCATGAAGAAGCTGGGCTACGAGGTAGACACCGAGCGGCCGGACGAGGCATCGTTCGATGAGCTCCATGAGGCGGCGTCCCAGGAAGAAGGCAGCAGGTGCTACGGCCTGCGACCGCTGTCTGAACTCTATTGCCTGTTGGAGAAACTACTCAAGTCTGGTCGCAAGATTCTGCGAATATGTAATGCCTATGTCTGAGTTCCAGTAGTTAGGTTTGTGTTGTGTTGTGCTGGTTGTCTGATGTTGGCGACTCGCCGCCATCAGTTACTGGATTTGTACCGTTTTAAACTTTTATCCCTCTTAATGAAAAACGGGTGAAGTCCCGGTCGCGAAAAAAAAAAGTAGACAAAAGATCCACAAGAACGGTCGACGGTAGGGGAAAAGGCAGCTTTGCTTACCTAAGATGGCATAACATCACATCAACGGTAGCACACGGCATCACCAAAACATGGGGCCTCATGAGTTTAATATTACTTCGGTGCCACTTCACTGAACCCTGCGTGTTTAGAACTGAAAAAAGAATTATCAACATAAGACACCTAGAAGCTGTCTTCTATCTACTAACTTAATGCAGAAACACAATCCAGAATCTTCCGTATAGTATTTATTTTACTTCTAGTTGTTTCATGACAAGGTAAGCATGGATGGTGTGTTAAATGTTATATCCTTAGTACAGACAGCACTAGGATCCAAAATAGATGAGAAACAACCCCTGCCTTCACTTGATGCACTGATTCCGTATGATTTAAGCAATAATTGAGTTTGACAAAAACCGGCTTAACCCAATCACTAAGTGCATAATTCCATCTAGTGGAGGACCACACATAATGGATGAATTGGCGCGCACACATGGAATGTCGAAATCAATTGTACACGAGGACATACCATTCAAGATGAAACAGCCCCTCTACATGGTGGCGTACACTGCAAGAAATACCATCAATCACTACTGGAACTCGAATTGTTCTGTGGGTGAAAAAAATTTCTATGTGTTTTTTTCGTCACGCATAGAAAAATTATGATTATTCTGTTGGTTTCAAAATATCCCGATAGAAAAATAAAAAAACCGACAGAATAATTAAATGATTTTTCTGTGTGTGACAATACACACACGGAAAAAATCAGCACTCACAGAAAAATACAACTTGTTCTGTCGGTTCCTTGAAAACGCACAGAAAAAATACATGCACGCACACGAAAAATCCGACTTGATAAACCGCTCCGAGCACCCCGCTCTTCTCTTCCCCAGCGCCCCACCCCTCCCGGCCCCAGGGCCCCTCCTCTCCCTTCTTCCCATGGTGCCGGGCCCCAGCCCCTCCTCCTCCAGGCCCCGCCCCCCCCTTCTTCTTCCCCGTGGTGGCCCTCCCCCCCTTCTTCACCCGACCGGATCCGCCCTCCCTCTCCGTGTCCCACGGTGGGCTGCGGTGGTGGTGGTGGCGGCATGGCGTGGTGGTGGCGGCCCTCCTCCCTCCCCTTCTTCTCCCCACACGGCGCCCTCCCTCTCCTTCTTCCCCGGCCAGGTGCCCTCCCCTCCCCATCTTCACCCATCACGGATCCGGCCCTCCTCTCCCGGATCCGGGGTGGGCTGCGGTGGTGGTGGTGGCCGGCCGGCCGATGGCGTGGTGGTGGCGGCCCCTCCCTCCCCTCTTCTCCCCCCATGGCCCCCTCCCTCCCCTCTTCTTCCCGGCTCCCTCCCTCCCCTTCTTCACCCGGCCGGGATCCGCCCTCTCTCTCCGGATCCAGCCGGTTGTGGGTGGTGGTGGTGGTGGCCAGGGCGGGCGTGGTGGTGGCGCGCCTCCCTCCCCTTCCCTCCCTCCCTCTCCTCCCCTCACGGCCCCCTCCCTCCCCTTCTTCACCCACCGGATCCGGCTCTCCTCTCTCTCGGATCCAGTGGGTGGGCTGGGTGGTGGTGGTGGTGGCCAGGTGGTGGGGCGTGGTGGTGGCGTCGGCCCTCCCTCCCCTTCTTCTCCCCATGGCGCCCTCCCTCCCCTTCTTCTTCCTCGACGGCGCCCTCCCTCCCCCTTCTTCACCCTACGGATTAGGCCGATTTCTCTATTATGTGGTTGCAGTTTGTTATTGATGATGAGCCACCAGATGTTGGCTCTTGCCGTCCGGAAGCTATTCTTGACTCCAACGAACGACGGTTGTTGTCGATTTCCTAGTTGTTGATTTTCTTTACTAGAACTGTGGGATATTGTTTGTCGCTCTTGCTTTAGGTGATGGTGTCCTATCTATTTGCATTCTCTAAGCTTTGTAGAATATATTTGAACTAGAGATGCTCGTGTAAGAAGTAAGAAATACAACTCCAATACCCATGAATCAAAACATTTTTGTTCTAGAATTGTTGCAATCACTTGCTCTTGTAAACCAGATTATGCCCCTTTTAATCGATATATGCCAAGTCGCTAGCTATCTCAGATGTCAGAGTATATTTTTGTGTATTGAACTCCTAAAGTGAAAAATGACTAAACTTGCTAGAGATGGAACACAAAATTAATTAATCTAGGATTGTCTATAAGTAGTCTTGGGCAATGATAGAGCTCTAAAAATTTTCTAGTAACTTCTTGATAAAGGTGCAATCGGTTTGTTGAGAAGTTGTCCAGACTTTTATTTAGATGACTCGATCTGCGATGATGATGAGGTCTTGCACTTTTTTTTTTCCTTTCTCTCATGCTAATGATCGCTATGAATCAAAGATCATATTTCATTCTTTCTTTGAACTGGATCGCTCTTTGTAGAGAAAATGCTTATCTCTGAATTTTCTATACCTTGGATTGATGTTAGTCTGATGTGAATTTTCTATACTAACATAATTTACGATTAGTAGTGCATCAAATATTTCTTGAACATATATGAGCAATGAGCTGTTAGTTTGATCAAATGGGAGCTCTTCATTGTCTTTTGTCAGTAACTTGACATCTTTGAAAATCACAAGTACTACTCTTGCCGCGCTGCTCTCCCATTCCCTAACTATGCCTTGTGACTTTTTTTTTGTTTTGTACTACTCTTGAGTGACTGTGATGAATCAAGTTTCTATTAGAGATTTTCTGCACTTTAGCACTTATGAGCTGGTACTTGAGATATTTTGTTCTGTTTGCTGTTTAATTAGGATGGCTTGTACCAGTACAAGCAACCAGTTCTATGGCCAGTTCAATTCCCATTAGAGAGAGAATTAAATTAAGTTTCAGGTGAAATTAAGTTGCAGTTGTCATACTGATAATGGGTAAATCTGAGCCATTTCTCGAGTTCTTTTGCTCTTGTTCTTTTGCTCCAGGTGAAATATATGTAGTTCTTGTGCTTTTAACATACTGCTCTCTAATGATCTGGAATGACCAATAGTTTCTTTTCTATTAGCTCAGTTCAATAGAGCTCTGTGATTTTTGCATTGC